GTTTGGAGAGATCCTTTTGGAGCCCCTTGCAATCTATATTGCCTTTTAGTACTCTGAATAATTTTACCACCCTGAACCACAATAAACTCCTGGCAGTGCTACAATCTTCAGTCCCCCACAGTACAGCTAATCTGGGTACTGGCTATTGTACTAGGTAAAAAGTGATGGCTACATTGCATGATTTAACAATCTGGGCATGACTTGGTTCTGAGCTCTGAGGTCACATTTGGTAATGGATACCAGGAAAGGAACTCTGGAATTTTGTCAGCTAGTGATGTGCATAACTCAGTTGGCCACACCATAAAAATACAGTGCAAACTTGTTAAAAATAATAATTTTCTATTTATATGTGTACGGAGCACTCTTAAAGTATTTGTTTTTAATCACCGAGGGTGGGGCTGAGTTTCTGCTTATATTACAACGATTACCAAGTTCTGTCACTTTAAAGGGAGACACAACCGGGACTAGTCCCCTTCAGTCAAGGAACCAGTTCCCTCAAGCACAACCTGACATTTTTCTCATCTGACTGCATGAGGCTTGAGAGTACAGGATGTCTGAGGATCCAACTACCAGTTTACCAGAGGTAAATTTAAAAGTACAGCTATTCAATAAATTGGTTTTTTTTTTATACAGCGTATCACCTGGAAGGGGAGGGGGCAAATGGAGGAACACATTTTGGGCTATTTTGTGTGTGTGTGTGTGTGTGTGTGTGTGTGTGTGTACATATGCAGTACATGCACTACAGGGTCAAGACACTTGAGGGCATTTCAACAAGATTAGCATGTGAGGGGTGGAATCTGTACACATATAAAAACGCTGTGAAAATCCTTTTTTTTAAAAAAACGTTTTGAAAAATACATTGAATTTTGCATAGTTCATTGTTGCCATCTAGCGTCACATCTGTGGTGCTTTTTTCTGGGGATACGCAGGGGTACGTATACCCCTAAACATTTTGTGAATCTTTGTACTTTTGTCCATTTACTGTATTTATTTTTCCTGATTTTAACTATAAAATGGTGATTTTCTTGAGAGTACCCCTAAATATTTTTTAAAGAAAAGCACTGCACATTTGTATACTGCACTTTACAACTCATTTAAAATGTTGTATTTGCAACTGTGTAACTGAGTACAAGGTCTTGAGATTAAGTAGGTAAAGCATTGTATGAGATTCTATGAGATTGTAACTCATAGAAGGGCTCTTTTAAATATCACCTCCTCATGTGTTTTGAACCTTACCTTCAAATTACTGTTCATGTTCTGGGTTAAAGTACCTCTCAGATATGCTCCTGTCTTATCATTCTACAATTCTGAGATTATCTATTCTGTTTCCTTTTGCTGGTAAGTGTGTGTAGTTAAATTCAGTTTTGTGACTTCATCAAATCATACATTTGCTTTGCAGATCCAAATCTTCCCCACTTCTCAGCTCACTGTGAAAATCTTGCAAGCTAGAAATATCACTGCAGCTGACCCATGTGAGTACCATATTTCCTTCACATTTTGGTTGCCTCTCTTCCATGAAATTAAAAGGACTGGTAACCAGAAAAACAAAACATGAAACATTTTCAACAGATGGTGAGAGTGGAATTCTAAATTCAGGTTTTAACTAGGGATGTTTGGCAAACCTGAAATGCTTGGCAGGTTTTTGAAGGAACCACAGACCTACCCTTTTATATGTATAAAGAGTCTTTGGCCTGAGAACAAACTTGGTGGGACACATAGATTTGAATCTAACTAAGTCCTACTCCTCTCGAGGACTCAGTTACAAAGCTGCAATTCTAACATTACAGTATAAGTGTGTTATAAGACTGTGACACCAGATGGCTCTGTAGAGCTCAATGGCAAATTGCATATATATTTTATTGCAATTTTTAATAGTATTTTAATAGCGTATTTAATATCTGTTTGGATCCAGCCTCAGAGAAGTCTCACTGAATTCAATAAGCATGAGTCAGTCATGACCAATGATTTCAGTAGGTCTATTATGAGTAGGCCTTATTTGGATACAGCTCACAGTCATGCCATCTGATGCTTAAAAAATAATCCCTTTCCAAATATTACACAACACAGAGTACCACCTTATTAGTTTAGCACTCAGAGGTAGCTATGTTTTAGGTATAAATATCATATGTAAGTGAAAACCGGACTACATGTAAAACGCTACACAGAAGCTGTCCTGGTCATTGATGTGAAAAGCAGGATCACTACACTTTTCAGTGGGGAGGAGCCATAACTCAGTGGGTAGAGCACATGTTTTCCATGCAAAAGGTTCCAGGTTCAATCCCTGGAAATTTCTAGTTAAAATAAGAATCAGGTAGCACAGGCTTCCTCAGCCTCGGCCCTTCAGATGTTTTTGGCCCACAACTCCCATGATCCCTAGCTAGCAGGACCAGTGGTCAGGGATGATGGGAATTTTAGTCTCAAAACATCTGGAGGGCCGAGGTTGAGGAAGCCTGAGGTAGCAGGTAATGGGAAAGACTCCTGCTTGTTTGAAAAGCTGCTGCCAGTCAGAGTGGATAATATTAGACGAGATGGACAGATAATTTGACCCTTGGTATAAGACAATCTTCTATGTACTGCCATGTAGATTTAATATGTAGGGCAGCCCTTTATATGTGATTAGTAATATGCCAAGGGTGGTAATCAACTAAGTGTTACTCAGAGTAGATCCATTGAAATTAACCAACATGACTCAATTATGACAACTGATTTCAGTAGGTCTACTCTGAGTAATACTTAGTTGACTAACCCCCCTACTGTTTTGATAAGTTCGGTATGTGTAGTTGGTATGGAGAGGTTTGCAGACAGCTCAGAGATGTGTTGTTTACCTCCATCCTTCTGTGCTAGATGTCTGTCATGTCAGGCCAGTCAGTGGGTGTGGATGATGGACAATTTCTCCCTCCCTTTGTTAAAAGGTGTCATCTAGTGCAGGGCTTTACTTTCCCTCACAGAAGCGAATTATTAAGGGTGTTCATTTATATGGTAGAAAAATAAAGGCGTGTACCTGGGGCTAAACTGGCTCCTTATCCCTGCAGATGCTAGCTCCAAACTTACCTAATCTCTTTATCTGAAAGGTGTCTAACTTAATACAATAGAGTCACAAAGGTTATCAGCGTTGTGGTTTTAGTGCTTGGCTTTAGATTCTTACTAAGCAAGTTTTTCTCCCTGCTTTAGTGAGTGGAGCTGACTGCTATGTAACACTATGGCTGCCAACAGCTTCGCAGGAGGAAGCAAGGACTCAAACAGTCCTGAATTCAAGTGCACCTGTGTGGAACGAAACCTTCTATTTCACAGTACAGAATCAAGTGAAGGTAAGGAAATGGCATTAGTCTCAGAGAATCTGCATTCTAGAATTTCTCTAGTAGCTTAAGATGGGCAAGTTTTTGTTCAGATAGATTTGAGGTCCTAACGTTTAACACAAGCACATACGATTTTTTTAAGGCACTTCCTTAATTTTCAGAACATCCTGGAACTGAAGATTTACGATGAAGACCTGCTCACCACAGATGACCTTCTCTTTACTGTCCTTTTTGATGTAGCTGAAGTCAGCCCTGGAGAGAGATTCTACACAACCTTCATACTGAATTCAGAGGTGCAGAACGAAATACCTTGCTCATATCTTTGCTTTACACTTCAGTGGAGGAGAAATATTTATGTGTGTGCCTCGTGAACTTTTTGATTATGCAAATATATTATATGACATCACGTGCCATGTATAAAGAAACCCAGAATGACGCTTACCTGACTTCCTGAGGTTAGTCGCTGCTGCTTATCAGGAGGGGCAAGGTGGCAGGGAGAGCAACTGTGGTGCAAATGCTCTGGCAAGAGCACCGGATTGGCTCTGTCAGTGTGTTCACACTGCGCTGCACTCCGTCTCCTGGTAAGAGAAGGCACTCAGTTGCTGAGAGGTCAGGTAAGCATCTCTAGCCCACCTGTAACTGGCAAACGTACTTACTTTGTGTGGATCCTTTATTTAACTGAAGTGACACTGTTCACACATAAGGGGAGAGGTGTCAGCAAGCAGAAGGGACCCATAAGGTTTGTAGAAGTAACCCCCCCCCCAAATTCCCCTTTAAACGGGGGTTTGGGTGGTTGCCAAAGTAGGCTAATGAGGGTTGAGGATGCTGTGGGAACGGTGGACAACAGGGATATAAAATGCATACAATTATGCAGTGTAGAAAAGGTGAATAGGGACATTCTTCCGCACCCCACTTAATACTAGAACCAGGAATCATCCAATGAAACCGAATGGAGGACAAACAGAAGGAAGTAGATCTTCACACAGTTGAACTGTGGAATCACTAGCCCAAGGTGTAGTGATGGCTGCCAATTTAGAAAAAATTTAAAGAGGTGTGAGTCTGGCACTGAGAGGAATTGTAATTCTGCAAAACCTGTAGGGCCAAAAGGAAGAAGGCAAATTCACGTAGCACAGGCATGTACAGCATGTCGATCGTGAGCCCCCAGTCGATCGTGGGGTGGTTTCTGGTCGATCGATCGCAGGGCCTTTCTCTGCAACCTCAGATGATGCAGCAGCAGCAGCAGCAGCAGCCCCTGCCGCTGCCGGTCTCCACAGCGATGCAAGGCTGAGCAGAGGCGCGAGGGAGCTGGGGAGAGGTCTGTGGGATGCTGCTGGGAGCGTGGAGGCGGGCTTAGCGTGGCCTTTCCCCATTGGGAAAGGGGAAGGCTGCCGGAGATGGAGGGAGGCGCGAGGAGGAGCCGCGTGGGAAGGCTCCCTTTGGCAGGGAGGGAGAGAGGGAGGGAGGGCAGGCACTACCTATTGGGATCCACATCAGCTGCGTGGCTCCCTTTGACCGAGGGGAGAGAGAGATCGTGCTGTGGTTTGCGGGTGGGCGGGAGGAGAAGCGCTGTCCAGGAGAGCTCCGCAGCCCAGCTGGTTTGAGGGGGGAGAGAGAGAGCGCTGCTTGGGGTCGGGGGAGAAAGAGATGGCTTGGGGGGAGAGAGGGCTGGCTTGGGGGGAGAGAGAAAGGGCTGGCTTCGGGGGGGGGGAGAGATCTGGGCTGTACCCGCCCTCTGCACCCATCCTGCCACCCACCCTACACCTTTCCCTACATGTCCCTGCTCCCTCAGGGGAAGCAGCCAGCGCCTGCCCGCCCACCCTGCACCTATCCCTGGCTGGTAGATCACTGCCAGTTTTTGATATTGGATTGTAGATCACAAGCTACTTGAAGTTGGACATGCATGTTGTAGGTTAAGGCAATCCGCAGCTGTTATCTGCTGATTATCAGGATAGGAGGAACAGGTGGGACTTGGGGCTGTTCCAGCAGGACTCTTCTTATAGTTTTATGGCTGAAATCCTGCAATGTTTTGCTTCACTTGCCATTCATATTCAGTTAATATGAAAAGCATCTCTTTACTTTTTTTGTTTCTTAAGCAGATTTTTTTTTATTATGTTGCTGATCCCAGCCATCTTTTTCTTTCCAGAGTAAGGAAGAACTGGACGTAGAGTTCATAATGAAGGAAAAGTATGTAGTAATAATAGGGAAGTATTCTGGATTCTTTATAAAATGTGGTGTCAGGTTTTTTTTTATAAAAAAAATACGGGTTTAATAGATGTTATTTATAGATGTCTTTGTTTATAACAAGCTGTGAATTTAATGAGCAGGAGTCATCAAGATAGCACAACTAATTACATATGCTGTCACTTTGAGCATTCAGGGTGCTGAAAGCTTTCAGATGATAGACTTTAGCTTGTCTAGGCATGAATTTAATTGTGCATAATAAATCGAACAATTGATGTGGTTGCTTCTTCTGTTTTTCAGTTAATTACCTTTCACCAAAAGTTCTAGTCTTCCTGAAGTAAGCATGCTCTTCTTAATTTAATTAAATAAAGCCTGCTTTATGCCTTTCCTCCATTCTGGGAGCATGCCGTATGAAATGTGATGCAGGGTGTTTGCTGATCCATAATATGGAATTCAAACCATTACAGGTAGATTTCAGGGGCTGTTTCACACTTGCCATTTTTTCTACTGGAGAGATAAGGTTGTTCTCTATAATTCAAGTAGTATACATAGTAAAAGCAAAGTATTTTCTTTCATATCACTTCAAAAACAAACTGCATTGCTATTGCTTTAAATGTTGTACATTCAAACTGTTGGGGAAGTATCATCTAACAAAGAAAAAGATCTCTATATTATGGGGAAATAAAGACTAGCAGGCATGTTGAAGTAGAGACTGAAGTGCCTTTCCCTCAGGAGATAGCTGAGGGAATACCTCTCTTTCCTGTTCATTTAACCCAGGCATGTCCAAAGTCCGTTTCAGGGGCCTAATCCAGCCCACCAGTTGGTTTAATCCGGCCACTGTGGCAGTTTGTTTCCTGGGGGGGGGGGAGGGTTTCCTAAAAAAACCTCAACAACTTCAATCTGAAAAAAAGTTCAACAACTTCAACCCGAAAAAAAGGTTAACAAATTTGGTCGGCCCTTTGGTCAGCCCTCACGGCCCTTCACTTCATCAAATCTGGCCCTCTTTGAAAAAAGTTTGGACACCACTGTAACCCCTGAAGAACCCATAATGTATCACACCACAATTTACATTTGGAAAGGAATGTGGGAGTGTTCCTAAATACTATCAATTTTTTTATAAAGTAATAGTTCCAATGGAAGGATTTTTGGAACTTTTCCGTAAAAGCATATAGTGAGTGATTATTAAAACATGTAGGCTTGGATCCAGGGATCATAGAATCAGGGTTGTCTTGCACAAGTAGAAAAGCAAAGTAAAATTTGATTATATCCAGCAAAGGACTGCGATACACACAGAACAAACTAATGTGTACATCTGTAGCAGGCCCAATTTGATTACCATTAAGCACTTTTAAGTGAGTGCTAAAATGAATCACATAGATATTCTCTCCCAACTGAAGTTGAAGGAACTTCAGGTTGCAGTCTCCTAAACATGCTTACTGAATGTTAGGGTGTATTGGCTTGCTCTGAGCAAGTGCTTTAGTTGGTGTCTAGAGTTTGTTGTTGTCTAGACTGGATGTGAGTGAGGGTGGGATTCCTTTTGCATGCCCTCCAACATTTCTTCATTGAAAGTAGGGATGCCCAGTGCCATTTCCCTAGAAAAAGAGGTGCCAGAACTCACCATGAACGCCTCCCCATTCTCTTATAATGGCAATGGTATCCACCTGAGAGTTGCAATGATTTCCAGTTGAAAAAACAAAGCCCTGGGGATGTCCTATTCCATACCCTCCAAAGCTTTTTCGATGGAATAGGGATGTCCTACTATACTCTCCAACATCTCTCCAGTGAAAATTGGGACATCCTAAGGAAAAGTGGAACGTTCTGGGATCAAATCAGAAACCAGGATGGCTTCTGTAAACCCAGGACTGTCGCTGGAAAATAGGGACACTTGGAGGGTCTGCTTTTCTTTATTGCCTGTGGCTCACACTCCTTCCTGTAATCCTGTTTTGCCAGGCCTCAGTTCACTAAATTTGTAAGGCAAGATTGGTTGCTAAGAAAGATGTCTTCAGTGCAATTATTTTTAAAACTTGCATTTCCCCCCTTCTAGTTTGGATCGTCTTGAGAATCTCCTCACAAACAACATCATAGTGGTAATCTTAATCCTTTAGATTTTGTGCACCCTTTCATTGTTTCTGGAATGTAGTTTTAGGTGAATTATAATTTAATATACACAAAAGGAACTAAAGGCTGTGGGGTGGAGGACTATGGGAGACGAATGTTAAAGAACTGCCTTTAGAGGCAGCTCTTCATGAATGCTTGACCATTTCAATAAATTTGAATCTTCATTACTTGGATCATTGTTCATTTTTCACAGGCCCGTCCAGTTTCTTGTTTGAATGTTTGTGTTTCCAAGGAGAAAAGTGCAAAGTATTTCAAAGGTAATTCCAGGTAGAGATCCTACCCCACCTCAACAACAATTAACTTTCTCTTATCTGGGAATCAAGAAAATTGATGCAGATATAAATATTTTTCTTTATGTTGCTGCTGCTGCTGCTGCTGTTTTGTTAAGCAACAACTTTTGATTCTGTTCCATACTGGATAATAAGATCAGGATGAAATGCATACAAACTGCTTAAATGTTCTTCATGTTGCAATGTCAAGTTGCAGAAGAAAATAAGGTGGCATATTATCAATCATTTTACTGGTGCAAATATTTTGGGTGGTGTTTCCTTGTAGCTGTTAAGCAACTATTAGGTGCTGGATTTTTTTATTTTTTATTTTTTGGGGGGGACGGACATTTCTATTAAATCCAGATAGTATAGTGGTACCTTGGTTCTCAAACTTAATCCATTCTGGAAATCCGTTCCAAAACCAAAGTGTTCCAAAATCAAGGCACACTTTCTCATGGAAAGTAATGCAAAACAGAGTAATCTGCTCCAGACTTTTAAAAACATCCCCTAAAACAGCAATTTAAGATGAATTTTACTATCTAACGAGACCATTGATCTATAAAATGAAAGCAATAATCAATGTACTGTACTATAAAATAAATAAGACAGTATTGTAGACGATAGAAATATTTTTTTTCTCTTACCTGCACTGATGATAGTCATTGTTTGGATGGGAGGCTATTATCCATTTCCGCAGTCACACAATCAATCAATCAGTAGCTGAACTGGGTTCCACACAGTCCCGAAAAAGCCTCAAAAACAAAAATGCAAAAACAAAAGTGTCAAACTTAATCCATTCCGGAAGTCCGTTTGACTTCCGAAATGTTCAAAAACCAAGGCTCAGCTTCTGATTGGTGCAGGTGTCCTGGAAACAATAGCCGACAGCCAGATCGGATGTTCAGCTTCTGAAAAATGTTTGCAAACCAGAACACTTACTTCTGGGTTTTTGGCGTTTGGGAACCAAGGTACCACTGTAGCTATAAAGGGCAGTTTGTAGGTAAAATATGTTTTTTACACTCATGTTGATATTGTAATCTGTTTGGGCTTCTCTTTGTAGAAGAAGGTGATCTTGAACTGAGAATGAAGGGAACATATGAAGATACATGGAAAACTGTTTTGGAATCTGGATCGGTAGAATGCTTTTATTTCCATTACCCGACGTATTGGGAACCACAATTAAACGCCCACCTGCAGGTGACCATACTTTCATTGGAAATAATGCACCGCACCTAAAAATACAATAGGGATAGAATAATGTACCCCCTCTCAGAGTATTATAAAATACTGACCCAGGAAATCATGGTTTTCTGTTTCTGTTATAATAATGTGCCACAGTGAACCTCAGATTCCCATGCACCAATCCACTTCCTTCCTCCTTAGAGCTTGAGGGAAGTTAAAAGTTTCGATTTGCAATGTTGCACAAACTATAGTTTCCTATTGTGTCCTCATATGGGAAACAGTGGTTGTCTAAACTATGGGTAGTTGTACAAAACCAGAATATGAAAACACAGTTTAATTCTGTTTTGTTATCTCTGTGATTGGATCAAACCACAGTTTCCTTTATTTGAACATAATGGGAAACTATAGTAGAGTGATATCTTTTCTTTTTCTTTTGTGCTGCGGACCAGTGCAGCTGCTGTTCTGGAAAGCGAGTGAAAGTAACCCCTTTTTTATGTTAGTGTTCTACATGCACACGATCTGAATGGGCAAGAAAGGGGAATATATTGGCAGAAAGGAAGGAACTCTGAAAGGAAGAATGGGGCATCTTCAGAAGGTGGTATAATCTGGAGGGCACTGTGTTGGCTATCTTTGGTGTAGTCCAAGCTAGCAAAGGATCAGATTGAGAGGCAGAGTGTGGGGAACAGTGTTGAGCAGAAGCTTGGTCTGATGGGATCTTCTCATTTCTCAGTAATATAGACTGAAAAGCAGGCCCTGGATCTAAAACTTCATCTGACTAGATGCTGAATCAGCTGGTGTGTTTCGAAATGCTGTTTAGTTGGCACCTCTGTGTAGACATAATCCAGACCTGACGTCTTTGGTAGACATGCTATTCTCGTGGTACAGGAGGTCAGTTACCGGGGCCTGGATTCCAGGAACCCTGGCCTGAAATACCTCGTTCACCAATGACCACCAACTTCAGAGTAAATTTAAATGGGACTTGCTTCCAAGTAGATATTTTTAAGAGTGTGCTTTTGCACCCAGACTCTCCCTCGACTACTCCCCCAAACCAAAAACAGCAGTGAGGTAAAAGTGTTAGCTCCAGTTGGTAACACTCATTATATTCATGCTTTCAGTCCAAAAGTTTGCCCATCTAATGTAATAACCTTGATAAACATTAATTAAACTGATAATATACATATCGTTTTAGAGTTTTAGTTAACTGATAAGTTATATGCAAAAACTGCAGGGTTCAACCCTAGGGTTCTTTAGACTGTCATCCTACTCTGTTTGAAATATAACATTATTTTTTGAAAAATCAAAATTAAACATAGTATTTTCTGATTATTTAACAACATAACTCTCCCCACCCCCATCTAGCATTGCTCAAGTAATGGGGAGCAAGACAAACAGAATTCATCTGCATCCCTGACTATGCCTCTGAAATCACTTTCTGTGGGGCAGGAGGTGAAAGTAATTCTTACTGCATCAGAGGTAAGCACTTCACTCTTTGATAGGTTCCTAAACTTAAGGCAATTAACTGTCCCAGCTTTTTACACAATGGCTGATCTTGGAAAAGTGGATTTTAATGATGCAAACAATATCAAGCTATCTGGAAAGGCTTTCTGAGTGCTTCCACATAATTGGATGTGATAGCTGAAACATACCGTATTTTTCCAATCGCCTGCCCAATTGCCGCTGCACTGGCCATTAAAAACCACCTATTGACGCAGCAACCAAGAACACGCACAATAGCCACTGACAGCCAAGGCAGCAACCAATCAAACGTCCACCCCTGTATAAGACGATGCCCACTTATTAGCATTATTTTTAAGGATAAAAACCTAGTCTTATACACAGAAAAGTACGGTAATAAGTTTGTTCCTAAGAGTTGCACATGAAAGGAGCTGTCCCAGATTGTGGTAGTGGATCCTGCCGCATAAAGACTTGAACAACGTGGGACCAGGTTACCTGAAGGACTGCCTGCCAATATATAGATCTGAACAATCACTTAGAATCCAAGTCTTACATCATGGGGGTGGGGATTTTATTTGTGTCATCACCATATCCAACAGAATATTGTAGGGTGGTGAACCTGAAAACGGGCATTTCCCCCATTGCTCTTACGTTCTGGAATGCCTTTCCCTCTACCACAGGGAAAGTTTCTTCCTTTTTTTGCATCTTGTAAAGATATATCTTTTTGCACAGTTTCCCCTGTTCCATAAGATTGGAGCCCATACCATGGGCATTTTTGTATGGAATTTTAAGCTTTGTTTCAGTGTTTTAGTATTGCTCAGCTTTCAGTCTGATTCACAGAAAGGTCTGAGATCCGGTAGGGTGAGGGTAGGTAATTTTTCTCCCTTCGCCATGTAGCTGCTGTGCTGCCTCTTATGCAATGAATAAGGGCTGTAGGAAGGAGGAAGAATGGATGAGAAATTGTCTTCCCTTCTTCCTGTGGCACAAGTGGAACTCTGCTGATCACAGGCCTGGATGTAACTCACAGCTCACACAACCTCTATTGTTATGCATACTTAGGATAAGCATGTGTATATATTTATTTAAACCAAGGAATATCACGAGAAATAAAAATGTTCTGCGGTTCTCAGGCATTTCATTTTTATAAATGTGCCTATACTTTATGATGCAGAGACGCAGTCACAGAAAATGCACTATTTTTCAGAGTTAACAGTGTCATAGGATTTGCTTCACTTGGTGTCAGAGAGCAGAAACACATAGAAAAGCTACCAGGATTTTATTTTTTCCATTTTGGTGGCATATTCCAGCAAGTAATTATTATGTAAATAGAATCTAAGAATGCTGAGTTCTGTGGATTATGCATGCGACTTAAAATATTGTTCTTCATTATTCTTCATTTCAGGATACTAATTTGGAAGTTAAATTGCGTACACAGACTTGGTAATGTATTACTTTTCTGACACCCCCCCCCAAAAAAAAATATTGAGTAGACTTTTAGGGTAACCCAGTCTATTTCTTGTTTTTCTGTATTGTCCTCCTTGTAACTGTTTGGGTTAGCTAGAGGAGTTTGATGTCAACCTCCAGAAGGATAGGCATGTTGATTGTTTTAAGAAAAACAAGTCTTCTGGCACCTTAAAGACTAACAGTTTTATTATGACATGAACTTTGGTGATGTACAATCCACTTCATCTGATGTATCCTGTATTCTTTAACTGGCAAGCATATATACACATGGGATGGGATGGAACATAAGGGTCTGAGATCAGAGAAGAAAAGAAGAGAAGAGAGAATGATGACTATTTGAAAGTAAGATAGCTATAGTGTCCAATTAACATGACAATATTGGGGACAACCCACATTCTGGCTTTGGTCAGCTAATTAGCACATGTGATTATTATTATTTTTTAAAGAAAGGATTCTTTATTCATGCCATGAATTGTGTGCCCAAGTGCAAAGTCCCCTATTCTTTTCTCCCATCCAGTGTTTTCAATGGGGTATGGTTGTGTGTGTAGACGGGAAATTCAAACAGTTGCTGCCAGGAGTTTAGGGCTGGATTTAGAAACATCGAAAAAGCGTTTCAGGAAAACACATTGTAAACCTCAATGTGGGAAATCACATTGGCGAAAGATGGAACTCCACAGCGCCATCTGGTGTCACAGTCATAGAATCATAGAATCATAGAGTTGGAAGAGACCACAAGGGCCATTGAGTCCAACCCCCTGCCAAGCAGGAAACACCATCAGAGCACTCCTGACATATGGTTGTCAAGCCTCTGCTTAAAGACCTCCAAAGAAGGAGACTCCACCACACTCCTTGGCAGCAAATTCCACTGTCGAACAGCTCTTACTGTCAGGAAGTTCTTCCTAATGTTTAGGTGGAATCTTCTTTCTTGTAGTTTGGATCCATTGCTCCGTGTCCGCTTCTCTGGAGCAGCAGAAAACAACCTTTCTCCCTCCTCTATGTGACATCCCTTTATATATTTGAACATGGCTATCATATCACCCCTTAACCTCCTCTTCTCCAGGCTAAACATGCCCAGCTCCTTTAGCCGTTCCTCATAAGGCATCGTTTCCAGGCCTTTGATCATTTTGGTTGCCCTCCTCTGGACACGTTCCAGTTTGTCAGTGTCCTTCTTGAATTGTGGTGCCCAGAACTGGACACAGTACTCCAGGTGAGGTCTGACCAGAGCAGAATACAGTGGCACTATTACTTCCCTTGATCTAGATGCTATACTCCTATTGATGCAGCCTAGAATTGCATTGGCTTTTTTAGCTGCCGCGTCACACTGTTGGCTCATGTCAAGTTTGTGGTCAACCAAGACTCCTAGATCCTTTTCACATGTACTGCTCTCAAGCCAGGTGTCCCCCATTTTGTATTTGTGCCTCTCATTTTTTTTGCCCAAGTGCAATACTTTACATTTCTCCCTGTTAAAATTCATCTTGTTTGTTTTTGCCCAGTTCTCTAAACTGTCAAGGTCGTTTTGAAGTGTGATCCTGTCCTCTGGGGTGTTTGCCACCCCTCCCAGTTTGGTGTCATCTGCAAATTTGATCAGGATGCCCTTATAACAGTGTTATAATGCATATAAAATGCTTTTTCTTAACTAATGTAGCTGGGTCCAAAGTAATGACAGTAATTCTCTCTGTTGTGTTAGCTGCCGTCATTTTATATTCACCTTAAGTATTTGCGATGGGGGAGAAATTCAGTTTGGTTTGGATTTGAATGCCTAATAATAGTTTAGGTTGGACTTTGCCAGTCTGGTGCCCTCACAGTTGACTTGCAACCTGCATGGGGGTTACTGAAGATGCACAGAACCGAAATCATGTATACTTAGAACATCCCAATGCGATCATCCTTACCTTTTAGAGCCAGCATGCCAAACAGGTCTTGTGCCCCAAGCAAGGCTTTATAGATAGATAGATAGATTCTTTATTGTCATTACACAAGTGCAACATTGCACAAGTGCAACGAAATTGGATGCCATCCCTTAAAAACAACAAAAGCAAAACAACAACAACAACCAAACAAACCACCTTCCAACCACACCCACACCCACTCTTGCGAGAGCCTCCCCAATTCCAAAGCAGAGACCTTAAAAGCTATTTTTGTCCTGCGGAACCCCGTGCCAAAAGAACCTTTAAGCTCTCTGCTTTCTGTGCATTTAATTTGTGTGATTTCAGCTGGCTGCGTAAAGCTGAAATTAGGCAAGTTTAAATGAGAGCCCCACAACATATAGAGCACCTCAGATTCCCCACCCCTGATTTAGAGTAACAGGCTATCTCTAAATGTGGAATGTTGACCCTGTAGTTAGTGGATGATGTTTGCTTCCCCTACCTACGTCCTTAATTTTGTTTCAGCTCCGAGCACCTTGATGTGCGTTTGAGGTTTGACCTATGCGGAGAGGAAAAGACTTTTCTACATAAACGGAAGAAAGTGGTTGCAGCTGGTCTGAAAAGTGTCTTCCAGCTAGAAGAGGATCTGTTGGATCATGAGGTATGCTGGATCTGGAACTGAAGGAAAAGAATGCATATTTTAAAAGGAAGACGACAATTTATATTTGACACATCCCTTAAAAAAAAGACGCCTTTCATTTTCTACTGGTGTAACGTGCAAGTCATGAGAAGTTGAACTTCATACTTGGAATTGTTCTTAGCTCACCTTGTTTTCAATGTTGTACAGTATTTTACTGATATTTTTACATTTTTTACATAAACCATTTAGAGGTTTCACAATTCAGTGGTGCGTTTATTAAATGAATAAAATAAATGTTTGGGGAGGCAACAGTGTTAGCAAAGCAACTGATATCTGGCATGGTTGGCACATGCCAGGCAGAGGGCCTTCTTGGTGGTGGCCCCCACCCTGTGGAACGTTCTCCTATCAGATGTGGAGGAAATAAACAACTGTCTTACTTTTAGAAGACATCTGAAGGCGGTCCTGTTTAGGGAAGTTTTTTATGTTTGATGTTTTATTGTGTTTTTATTTTCTGTTGGGAGCTGCCCAGAGTGCCTGGGGAAGAAATTATTATTATTAATTATTATTATTATTATTATTATTATTATTATTATTATTAACTGCACAACTGCCGAATGGTGTGCTGCTCTGTGGCAGAACGGCTATTTGTATCATTGGCATTAGTCTTACAGAGAATAGTTATCTCCCGCTTGGACTACTGCAATGCGCTCTACGTGGGGCTACCTTTGAAGGTGACTCGGAAACTGCAATTAATCCAGAATGCAGCAGCTAGACTGGTGACTGAGAGTGGCCGCCAAGACCATATAACACCGGTCCTGAAAGATCTTCATTGGCTCCCAGTACGTTTCTGAGCACAATTCAAAGTGTTGGTGCTGACCTTTAAAGCCCTAAACGGCCTCCGTCCTGTATACCTGAAGGAGCGTCTCCACCCCCATCGTTCAGCCCGGATACTGAGCTCCAGCCCTGAGGGCCTTTTGGCGGTTCCCTCGCTGCGAGAAGTGAGGCTACAGGGAACCAGGCAGATGGCCTTCTCGGTAGTGGCGCCTGCCCTGTGGAATGTCCTCCCGGCAGATGTCAAGGCAATAAACAACTATTTTACTTTTAAAAGACAACTGAAGGCAGCCCTGTTTAGGGAAGTCTCTAATGTCTTACGCTGTATTGTTTTTAATATTCTGTTGGAAGCTGCCCAGAGTGGCTGGGGAAACCCAGCCAGATGGGTGGGGTATAAATAAAGTTGTTGTTGTTGTTGTTGTTGTTGTTGTTGTTATCCTAGCTGATATTATGTCCTTCAAAAATGCTAATACTCATATTTTAAATCTGTGAACTACCCAGAGGACATTGTTAATTGTGTGCTAATGTACAGGCCAGATATTAATATAAATATATATATGTCTGTGTATTTTAAACAGGTGCCAGTAGTTGCAGTCATGGCCACAGGAGGTGGATGCAGAGCAATGACGTCTCTTTACGGGCAGCTCTCAGGACTTAAGAAGCTTGGCATTCTGGACTGCATAACATATATCAGCGGTACCTCAGGCTCAACTTGGTGAGACTATCAGCATGAAACTGGGGGAGGGGATTGTGGAATTTTGGAGCTGAAACCAAGGAAAGGTATTAAGAAGTGCATAGTATCTGAACATTATTTGTATGCAATCCGCTTTCCCTGAGCCAAGCCATACCAGCAATGAAGTCACAGAGTCAATTAAGGTTTGGCAGACAGCCCGAAGGCAATCTGAAGGAGTAAGTCTGCCTGGTGATAACAGAGACATGGAGACCACTCCCTGATTGGTCAAGCTCTCTCAAAGGAGTGATAATTAATGGCCTACTAACTGTTAGTTCAGTGTTTGTGTTCAGAGTTCTGTGTCAGTGTGGGAGTTGTGAGTCGTGTCAGAGAGAGCTAGCAAAAGATCCGTGTTCTGTTCCTGTAAATAGTCCACTGTATATAATAAACACCTAACTACAAGTTCCTGGTTCCTGGTTCGTCTATCCTGTCTGCAGCCAAGTAGCCAATTGCTTCCGTGGATTCTGTGTGTACTCTGCTAGGTCTGGCTAAGGTCCTGCAACTAGTCAGAAAGTTGCGAAACACCAAATAGATTTTTCCAATAGGGACAGTCCTGGGAATTATGGTTGCGCTTGAGATGTGCCGCTTCAGACATCAGTGTGCAAGAGTGGAAAACTGAAGCAGGGCTCATCTTGCCTGTCCTTCCATTTCCTGTGCTTCTGTCTAACATTTAAACCAGTCTTCAGGAAAACCAAGGTGGCTTCTTTACGTGTGTGTTCTATTGTCCATGCATTTATCCTAATTATTTTATTACAACTGTTTCTTTAGGACCATGTCAAATTTGTATGAAGATTCCAATTGGTCCCAAAAGGATCTGGAGAGGCCAATCCTTGAAGCCAAGAGGCATATGGTAAAGAATAAGATAAGCACCTTTTCTCTGGAGCATCTGATTTATTATCAAGAGGAGCTGAGGCAGAGGGCCAAAGAGGGCATCTCTACTTCTTTTAATGACCTGTGGGCCGTAGCTCTGGAGAATATCTTGCATGATGGGGTATGTAAACAGCTTTAGGCCTCTCCTAATGATCAGTGTCCAAATACAGAAATGATTAATGGAGAGCCAATTAACTTCAAAAGCCTCTGTTGGTTGTTTCATCTCTCTGGCATGCAGTGGTGTCAGGGAAGGGGGGGCAGTGTGCCCCAGGTTCCACATCTGGGCGGGTGACAAGGTGGCACCCTGCGGGGTGCTTGCCCTGCTGCCCCGGCCCGGGCGTGGCGGTGCGAGCAGCCATCCTGCAGCTGCAGCCTCATGTGGAGGATTCGCAGCTGCAGCTGTGAGCAGAGGATCCCGGTGCCGGCGGCAAACTGCTATGTACAGCGCATGTGTGGCATCGCACACATTTGCTGTACATAGCGGTTTGTCAGCACCACAGCTCCAACGCCATACGGACAGCGGTGGGATCCCTCTGTCGCTGCTACAGCCGTGAACGGAGGATCCTGGCATTATCCGTACAGCGCTGGAGTGGTGCGGCTGGCAAACCACTATGTACAGCACATGTGCGGCATTGCCATGTACAGTGCGTGTGTCATACGTAGTGACGCCGCACATGCGCCCTACTTAGCAACGTCCCGCCCTGGGTGTCACAACACCTTTGTTCGCCCCTGCTGGCATGTATATATTCAATTAATCATTCAATTAAGGCTTTCAGTGAAGAAAAATATGAGTGACCTTACTTTTGGGTTGTTTTTTGTTGTTGTTGCGTCTGGATAACAAACAAAAAAAACACATACCAGTACAATGAGCAGCCTAAAAGCAATTGATTTCAAAGCGCAATATAATAATCCAAAGAAACAAACCATTTTGATAAAACTAGCATTATAACGTTTTAAAATTCGTTGCAAAATAGGCCATATCAGTAACTAAAAAACCACATATCAACCAATATTATTTATCCAGAACTGAAAGAGGAAAGCACAGAAAGCATTGATCTCCTTTAATCTAATGAAGTCCTTGTTTTTTGAAAGAGCCATCAGCAGCCTAGTTTCATTCTTTGGAAATTTTGCAGGACCCCCTTTATTCCATATATTCACTCATCCATCTCATTCATACAGTTTATAACTGATTACATTAAACTAGTGATATTGTAAGGGTAACAAAAGGGATGCGGGTGGCTCTGTGGTGTAAACCACTGAGCCTTGGGCTTGCCGATCGGAAGGTCAGCGGTTCGAATCCCCGCAACAGGGTTTGCTCCCGTTGCTCTGTCCCAGCTCCTGCCCACCTAGCAGTTCGAAAGCACGTCAAAGTGCAAGTAGATAAATAGGTACTGGTCCAGTGCAAGGTAAACGGTGTTTCTGTGCGCTGCTCTGGTTTTGCCAGAGTCATGTTGGCCACATGACCCGGAAAAACTGTCTGCGGACAAACGTCGTCTCCCTTGGTCAGTAAAGTGAGATGAGCGCCACAACCCCAGAGTTGTTCGCGATTGGACTTAACCGTCAGGGGTAACAAAAGTGCAAGTATGAAGCACTTAAGAGTATATTCACACAATTTTCAGAGATTTGATTTCAGAGATCTGATTTGTTGCAGTACGTGGCACACTCTTCTGAGCTCCAAGTCCTTTGCTTGCTTTCTGTTTTTCCTCCTTATTAGGTGAATGATTTTAAACTATCTGATCAGCAACAGGCTGTGAACCAAGGGCAGAACCCCCTACCCCTCTATTTAGCCCTTAATGTGAAAGAAAACCATATTTCTACTTTTGATTTCAAAGGTAATTCTTATAAACTTGTAATTGCAGTAGAGAATGGCAGGTGCAAATGTCAGCAATTTTCCTTAGCCTATTCTCCTGTGTAAGCTTTACTATGTAGCAATAATGTGCCAGAAGGGAAATTTCAGAACATCCTTAGGGGTTATTTGATCTGTAGGTAATTTACCTTGCATACTAATTATACAGGTGTATATGACAGTAACTGAAACAGAGATTAGCATGTATGTGCCAGGTTTGGGGCCTGCTCAAGGACACTAAAGGAGCTTATAGACAGCGGCTTAATATTGCTAATGGGTCCTTGAGATATTGCAAATAGCTTAATGGCAACAGGTTGTTGTTGTTGTTTTTTAAGTGGCCATCTCTTCCCCAAGAAGGGAAAATCCAGATTAAATTGCAGGGGGTGGGGAATATTTGCTGGCATTTTGATGCCAGCACCATCATGTAGATGTTACAAAAAACCAGCCTGAAAGCATCCTAAGTGTGAGTAAGTATGTGTGTAGAACTGGAGATTCATTGTAGGTTTCATTGCTGCAAATATGAAATGATCACTTTAAAACTGCACAGTAATTTGTTTCATTGATTGTTGTAAGCACAGCAAATAAATTTGGCTGTTAGTGCAGTTTCTTTACATAGGTATAAATGACTCATTTAGATGATGATGGTGATGATAATTAATTTTGTATGTGCTGTAAACTGCCCGGCCAGTCTGGGCGGCTTACTGCACAAATTAAAAATGGTAAAACACAAGAAATTTAAAACTTCCCTAAACAGGGCTGCCTTCAGATGTCTCCTAAAAGCCAGATAGTTGTTTATTTCCTTCACATCTGGTGGGAGGGCATTCCACAAGGCGGGTGCCACCACCAAGCAGGCCCTCTGCCTGGTTCCCTGTAATCTCACTTCTCGCAGTGAGGGAACCACCAGAAGGCCCTTGGAGCTGGACCTCAGCATCTCGGTTGAATGATGGTCTTGGACCATTGAGCCATGTGCTTGTTTGATGGCTTTGGTGAAGTAACTCTCCTCTTTCAGCTTCACTTCCCCATCAATAAAATGAAAGTAAAAGTGACCTCACTTGTCGTTTCTTGTGAAAATGAATGAGATATGGAAATAATTGTATCCCACAGATCATTTATCAATATTACACAATGCATTTCCCCCTCCATGCTCCTTGGAGGAAAGGTAGAATGATAAACACAATGCATACACAAGTTAGTATATTCTCATAGGAGGTTTTAGATGCAGAATTATTCTGTTACCATGCTTCCATCAGCAATAAGATAGCAAGTATGCTTGTTGATTGTCTGTACACAGAATGGTGTGAATTCTCCCCCTATGAAGTTGGCTTTCTGAAATACGGTGCATTCATCCATTCAGAAGATTTTGGAAGTGAATTCTTCATGGGACGGCTAATGAAGAAAAACCTAGAGTCCCGGATCTGTTATTTAGAAGGTAATTGTATTAATTTCCTGTCAAGTGGCATGTTACTCTCTTGAAAGCTGTTGTGAACTGGATTTGCAGTTACTAAGATCATCAACCAGATTTGTAGGTTAACTATCATAATTTGTGGGAAATGATTTTGAGGTGTAGGCTAGCCCAAGACAATTATGTGCCTGATGCTGCAATTTTATCACACCCAACATCAGCTGCCTGAGGAGGCCACCTCACTTTAAATATAAAATGCTTTTCTGTTGCAATACGTATGAATAAATGTGTGTGCATGAGCAAATAGTACAACCATTATCTAGTCGCACATGAAGTCCTAATATTTCAAAAGACCTAAATAAGGCAGGAGGAGTAATTAATTACCATTGAAGTTTTGATTAATGATAAACAGCTGAATGAGAAAGGATGGATTATGCAAAGAAGAACTGACCTTTCCCTAAATATGCTTGACTTTACAGCGTTGTGGAGCAATATTCTTGCCGTGAATCTGCTTGATGTCTGGAATAAGTTGAGCAGTACAGATGAATCTTGGCAGAAACTTATCAGAAGCAAAATAAGAAACATTGGTAGGAATTTTGTTGTTAGCTTAAAATAATGTGTACATAACAGCACACATATTCTCGCAAATAAGCCCTGCAGATGTAGCCTAGATGGTTTGCCTCCATTCACATGAACATAATGATGGCCAGTGTGCAGTTCAGAAACTGAAAGAGATTTAAGGCAGCACAGTGCTATTATCTACACTAACACAAAGCACTGTGGCGAAGAGATAAGACAGCACGTATTTGGGCGTGTGCACACACTTGCATGAACACACATGCTGGGGTGGTGTGGAAGGCCACCTGTGGAAAGTTATGAAATGGTCCATGAAAGGTTACACCGTAACAAATTGGTTAGTTTTCAAGGTGCCACAATATTATTTGTTGCTTTCACTAAAAGTGAGCAATATCTAGGTGTTAGTGAATGTAGATTAAAAATCCCTGTTAAAGGAACATTAAGGGAATTTCCCACTTTTTTGGTGTCTAAATGGGGTTACCTGTATCTGTTCCAGGCATATGTATTTGACAGTGTGTCATTATTCATAAACAATGCCATATATCTACTTTAAATTGTGCAGAGGAAGACAATTATATGATTTTTGAATAAGCCTTTTCATAGACATTTGCTGTAACGCTATAGTGGCATAAAGTAGCAACACGGACTGCTTCCTTCCCCTCCAATCCCCTTCTCTTCCTTTCCCTTATTCAGAGAGAAATCATATTCCACCAGAAAGCTCTACTTACTTGGGGACCTCTTGGATGTGTCCTGATGGGAAGCTCTTTCAGATTATAAGAAATATTTTAACTGATCGTCCGTTGCACCATCACATCCATAACTTCCTCAATGGTTTCCATATGCATAAAGACTATTACCAGGAGAGTCAGTTCTCTACATGGAAAGGTAACTATGTCTACTTAGACGTATAACCTATTGAATTCAGTTGGGCTTTCTCCAAACCAAAGGATTAGGATTACAGTTCTAGTTACCAAAAAAATAAAGGAAAACAACCCCACCAAAAATAATCATCATACCCTAGGGCTTTTTAGTGCTGATAATTTATTTACCAAGTTAATAAAATTGCTATCCCACCCTTCATCTGAAAGGACATTGCTGACACACTAACTATTAAATTCTTCTTTAGAACCTACAAACTTATATCTTCCCATAACTGGGCCTGGGATACTGGACAATAGGTGAAAATGTGGGTTTACTGTAAACATAGTGACTTTGATTTTACTTGTAAACATATGGAAGTGTTGAACAGAGCTCATTTATCACTGTCTCTCTTTTGTCAAGTTATCTTGCCTTCCTTAGACCTGGAGTGCTGTTTCAAGAACACATTTCATTTTATACACTTTTCTTCTTTTTAAATGGACACATGCAATGTTCCGGATATATACCTAAATGTGAAAAATGTGAACATGATAAAAGTGTGTTCACCAACATATGTGTCAGACAGCAAACTTTATCAGCGAGATGGGATTGGCTGGAACACCAACTTGAATGTACATTCTGATAAACACAAGTGTGCTGCCATGTAATGTGTGGCAGAGCCCTGAATTCTGAATGGTGTTTGGAGCCATAGACTGACTCCCTGAAAGTTCCAGGCTCAGGCAGAGGACTGGCTTCAAATAGAACTATAGAATCATGGAAATGTAGAGTTGTAAGGGACCCTAGGGACGTGGGTGGCGCTGTGGGTAAAACCGCAGTGCCTAGGACTTGCCGATCGTATGGTCAGCAGTTCGAATCCCCGCAGCGGGGTGAGCTCCCATCGTTCGGTCCCAGCTCCTGCCCACCTAGCAGTTTGAAAGCACTCTTAAGTGCAAGTAGATAAATAGGGACCGCTTTATAGCGGGAAGGTAAACGGCGTTTCCGTGTGCTGCGCTGGTGCTGGCTCGCCAGCTGCAGCTTCGTCACACTGGCCATGTGACCTGGAAGTGTCTTCGGACGGCGCCGGCTCCCGGCCTCTAGAGCGAGATGAGCACGCAACCCTAGAGTCGGACACGACTGGCCCGTACAGGCAGGGGTACCTTTACCTTTAAGGGACCCTAAGGGTCTCCTAGTCCAGTCCCATGACAGATGGCCACCAAACCTCTGCTTAGAAACATCTGATGAAGAAGAGTCTACCACCTTCTGAGGGAGTCCATTCTACAGTCGAACAGCTCTTACTGTTAGAAAGTTCTTCCTGATGTTTCGTCAGAATTTCCTTTCTTGTAACTTGAAGCCATTGGTTTGGGTCCCAGATCTGAAACATTTTGTGAAAGAAAATGGATGATAAAAAACAGATTAGATTACTAGATTGATTTTTATTGTATAATTTGCATTTCAGACAGCCGACTGGACCAGTTTCCTAATCAACTGACACCATCAGAAGAAGGTATCTGCCTGGTCGATGCTGCCTATTTCATCAATACTAGCTGTCCCCCGCTCTTGAGAAAAGAGCGGAAAGTAGATGTCATCTTATCATTTGATTACTCTCTGGACAACCCTTTCCAGGTCAGTGTTAAGGTATTCTTCTGCAAACAGTTTGGTCACAGTAGAGGAAAGAGGAACTCTCTCCTACCCTCCATGCCAGGGTCCCAATACAGATTCGTCCCCCCTCCCAAAAAATATCCTTGCCGTTGTGAAAAAAGTGCAGTTTAGTATTTTGCTGATGCTTTGATTTGCAGCTGCCAATACACATTATGTTGTAATAGGCACTTTGCGGGAGTGGGGTGTTGATTAATAAAATCTTGAAGGTTTTGATTCTGTGAACCGCCCTGAGATCCCCGGGTATAGGGCTGTATATAAATTCAATCAATCAATCAATAGATAGTGTAATGGGAATTGGGGTTGCTTGTGCGTAAACTTCCCAACCGTTCCACGCTGGTTGTATAGCTAAATCTTTCCCTGGTTTGACAGCCCTCACAACGCGACTGTCTCAATCACTGGCAGAATCCGTCAGTGGGCGTTTCCTGAACTTCTTCCAACATAAGAGTTCCTTGACAGCAAGTCTCCGCCTAGCTTCTCTGCGCGGAAGCCTTCTGCGCAGAGTGGGCGTGCCAAGCGGAGGTCCTGCACTCTCCCCGCTGATCTCACTGGAAGAGTCCCGGAGCCTCCCCTCCGAAGTACTCTCAGCCTCCCCTTTCTTCCTGGTGTCACCTTGATTTCCTTCCCCAGCGGAAGCTCTCTCTCTCTCTCTCCTTGCTAGTTCCCTCCCCTGCATCATTGGGGCGACTTCCCTCTCCGCTAGTCTCTGATGTCAGTTCCCTGTCAGATAGATAGATAGATAGATAGATAGATAGATAGGAAATGGTACCATTTTATATACATCATCACCATCATCCGACTGCAACAAACATAATCAAAGCCTATCATGCACTAAATAATATGTGTGTTGCATCAGACAAAATACCATCGAACCAATGTAGTAATGGCTAAGGACCTAGAAACAAAGGAGGGCAAGGCATGTCACAGAAGATGTAATTTCAATGGGTACTACTTCTCTCGTGCTTGCCAAAATTTTCCATTCTACACAGCTATTAAAAATACAGCTCATTCCAGTCATTCCAAGCTACGGGCACTTGAGTTTCAATCAAATGAGGAGAAACTTAACAACATGAAACTGAACAAAAGTGTATCTGCTTTTTGACTTGTGAACAAAGCTACAATTGTGGATTTTCAGCGGAAAACAGTTCTTATATCAGGTGCTTCAAAAAGAATTCTCTGTAGAATGTAGGGCAGAAATTAGTCTTAAACAACCCTCTAGATGGAGTATTAAAAAAAGTAGCCAGGTATTTTTTTCTTTATTGTTGCTCATCTCCCATACTCTTTCTTTCTCTGTGAGTAGGCACTTGTGGGGGGTTTTATTTTAAATGTTGTTTATCAGCATCATCGTTCAAACATACCCTTAGAATTGTGGCAAGGGATGGTCAAAATGGGCTGAATCCAGTTTGTGTCTCCATTGAATATCTGCATGGGTTTTTTTAAAAGGCAAAATCTGCACTCCTTTAAAATGTTATTGACCCACTCACTTATGATGTGGTCTGAGAGCTTTCTGGCTCCTTTTTCTTTTAAAAAACATTTTCTAGCTGCTTGAAGCCTCATTGGGACATTGTACAGAAAAAAGATGGCTGCCCCCATAAGTACATTGGGGCAACCATCTTTTCCTTGGTGCAATTACACAGGGTCACAGCACGGACTTTTTACTCAAAACATTTCAATGAGCACAGCAAGAGTAGCTGCTCCAATCAGCTAGAAATAATTTAAAAACAGAAATGTAGAGGCAAGAAAGCCCTGCAACTATCTTGGTGTTGTTGTTTTTTTAAAGAAAATGAACTATATTCAGAAAGGTTCATAGACATGTAGTCGAATTCAAATGTCTACATTATGATCTGAGCATGATCCATTGGAATGCGGACTGGGGAGTTTAACTCCAAACGGTTTAGTGAATTGAAATCCTCCCCCAGCCCTAATTATGGCTACATAATTTAATGCCTGCTGATTTAAAGGACAACCTTTAAAGTTACCCTAATTTCTTGTGCTACAGTCTATAGAACAAACCAGCGAATACTGCTTGGAGCAGGGAATTCCTTTTCCCAAGATTTCATTGAGTGAGGAAGACAAGAAAAATCCAAGAGAATGTTACCTATTTGTGGACGAGGAGAATAACAAATCCCCCATTGTGCTTCATTTCCCGCTTGTGAACGATACATTCCAGAAATTTAAAGAACCAGGTACATTTCACTTTCAACGTGCAATATTTTGTCTCAAAACAAAACAAAGTAGGGGAGGGATGAGCAAATGATTGAATGAGGTCTGAACATGTTCCCAGATCTCCTAAATGATTTAACCAGGGGCATATTTGTTTGTTTGTTTGTTTTATTTTCAGGTGTGGAACGTAGGCAAACTGAGATGGCAGAAGGCACAGTCCCGCTATCTGGCTATTGCTCACCATACCAGCTGATGAACTTTACATACACTAAGAAAGACTTTGACAAACTCCTGAAACTGACTGACTATAACATCCGGAATAGCAGAGACTTCATTCTTCAGGCTCTCTCCATCGCCATAGAATGGAAAAAATGTGGCCGGAAATGTGCCCAGCCATGTGACTCTTCTTAGGATCCCTTGCCTGCTTTTACCAGCAATGTATGCCTTCTTCCTCCTAGTAGATCATCAAGCCTTTTGCTTTGCAGAGGGAGGAGGATTGGCAGGTCAGTGGAGTTCAACCCCCAAACAGAGGAAGGTTACTATCCTGTACACATTTATTAGAGAGAGCAAGTCATATTAAACTCAGCAGGCCTCACTTCTGAGCTAACATCCTTAGGACTTTCACTGTAAGAAATCTAAAAATGGCGATGCCTTGCTTCTTATCTTTACTTGTCCTTCAAGCACTTAAATCAGGTATATGGAGGCTGTGGACCTCGAGATGTAGATTGACTCCCACCAGCCACAGCCAGCAGGACTAATGCAAAGGATGATGGGAGTCTTAGTCCCACAACATCACGATAATCGCAGGCTCCCCATCCCGGACATTTGAAAGGGATGGGAGAAGAGAGGGCAGGATAAAAGATACCAGCAAATGCCAAAATCAGGAATATTGTAGGGTCAGACACCCAGTGTCAGAACTTGGGGTTACTTCTTTGCTTAATAAATTGAGTACAGTGGTACCTCAGGTTACAGACGCTTCAGGTTACAGACTCCGCTAATGCAGAAATAATACCTCGAGTTAAGAACTTTGCTTCAGGATGAGAACAGAAATTGTGCAGCAGCAGCGCTATGGCAGTGGGAGGCCCCACTAGCTAAAGTGGTGCTTCAGGTTAAGAATAGTTTCAGGTTAAGAACGGACCTCCAGAACGAATTAAGTTCTTAACCTGAGGTACTACGATGATTGTTGTCATAAGCTATATGTGACATGAGCTTTGATTTGAGGGGAAATTTTAAGTGTGTGACATAGTTCAAATGTGTCCATCAAAACCCAACAACCCACACGCTAGCCTTGTACTGGTAACTTAGGACCAATTCTCAACGCTTTCTGGGTGTGGCAGCCACACTCCTTGAAGCCAAGACAAACTTGATAGTGGGAGCCCTGCCTCTTTAAAGGAATATTTGCTGTTGTCACATACAAAGCAGAATATATGAACTGAGGGCCAAACGACATGGGCTGTTAATTAAGTGATATGCCCCTGAGTGCAGGATTGTACTTGCAGAAGTTGTAAGTGTGGGTCCCTTATCAGGAATGGCCCCTTAGCAAGGAGAGGGTGCTTTAGTCCTTTGCCTCCTACTATGGTCCCAATCTGGATTACACCCCCTCCCTCCCCACCCTGACAACTTTAATTTACATGGGATTAAAAAATCCCATTGGAGTTAATGGGGGCTTTTTCTCCAAGCAAATTGTGGGAATGCCCCTCTACCCTCTGATCCAGATTGGGACAACAATGGTGGACAAAAGGCTAACATACTACAACAACAACAACAACAAAACCCCTAACCACCCCAGGAGCCCTGTCATGATTGGGAGGGGGACATGCTATCTTCTTTGATAAGAAAAACCTTTCAATAAATGGCAAATGACCTAATGAATGTCATGGCTTTTTTGGCCCTGATCTTCAAAGGAAATGGAGCACTCAAATCCTTCCCCAACACCTTCGGATTACCTTTGCTGTGGGAAGAATAGGGTTTCTGCAATCTTTCATGTACAGATGTACCACAGTTAAAGAAACACCTGCTGTTATCCTGTTTCCCATGGGAGTCATATTCAGGTTGTGATTGTGTGTGAAGGTGATCTGTGATGGTTTCTACATGAGAAAGGAGTATCCATGCAACCAGGTCACTCTTCTCTCTAGCTCATGTAATTGGTGTGACCACCACAGACATTCGAATGGGGGAAAGCCCTGTAAATCAGGTTTGTTCCTAAACTTCTTGCAACATTAGAGTGGCCTGAAGTAATAGGGCTGGAAATATTATTACTATTATTATTATTTTATATTACTTATATCCTGCCGATGAGACTGGGTTGCCCTAGCTACTTGTAAGTGGCTTCCAAGAGCAGCAACACATCAAACATTTAAAATTCCCAATACAGGGCTGCCTTCAGATATCTTCTGAAAGTTGTGTAGTTGTTCATCTGTTTGAAATTAGTTGGGAGGGCATTCCAAAGGGTGGGTGCCGCTGCTGAGATGGCCCTCGGCCTGGTTTCTGGCAGTAGTCACACCTCTGAACAGTAGTAGGATAGTGGTTTTCTGCATGTGGATTCAGCCAGCTACATATTGTTTTGCACACCCCAATTTCCGAGTGGGAAGAGACTCCTACGCTTTCCCAGGGTTTGGTTTCCTTGGAATGAAGGTCAATGGGGACGATGGGGTCTTTAGGGTACATGGTTTTATTTACACATATATACCACTGAAGCATAGGTTGGAGGGCTCACAGCATTAAAACTCCAACAGATCTTTCCCCCATTAGTTTTCCAGGAGAGTCCCATGCCACCATTTTGAGTTCAGCACAGAGCCATGCAAGCCTATGTGTCTCCAGCTTCCAGCGTCAGCCAAAACTCTCCCAGACAAATTCCCCCTTGGCCTACTGTTCCCCATTTTAGGATGATGTGGCCTCCAGCCGGGTGAGGGGGGCATAGAGAATGCATACCCTCTTCCTGAAGAGCACCATCACTTAGTTGCCACTATGGCAACCTAGCTCAGTCTTTGTGGTGCTGATGAGAGCACTTAACTTGCCAGCTATGTCCATTACCTTACAAAGAGAGCCAGTGTGGTGTAGTGGTTAAGAGCGGTAGACTTGTAATCTGGTGAACCGGGTTCGCGTCTCCGCTCCTCCACATGCAGCTGCTGGGTGACCTTGGGCTAGTCACACTTCTCTGAAGTCTCTCAGCCCCACTCACCTCACAGAATGTTTCGTTGTGGGGGAGGAAGGGAAAGGAGAATGTTAGCCGCTTTGAGACTCCTTAGGGTAGTGATAAAGCGGGATATCAAATCCAAATTCCTCCTTTTCTTCTCTTCAAAGAGACTAGTCTGACCAGTTTGGCATATTTCCCCTCATAGATTCTAACTTCACATACACAAAATCAGTTTTGTAAGGGACAAAAATTTTGGAAGGGATGCATCCAGACTGACTCCGCCCCCCAAAACTTGTAACAACAACCAATAAACTGTTGCATGGGAATATTCCAAATGCAGTAGCCAAATGCTGGGAACCCTCATTCTGAGATGTTGTGTGTGGAACACTCAGTCCTGCCACTCTCTGTAATCTCTCTTTGATCATTTTTTTTGGTGGGGTGTCAGCCCATATATTCTGCTGAATTTGTAGATTTCTAGATTGGAGCAACTTTGTGCAAACAGAAACGCCCAACCACCTTATCCCGAATCATATATTCATAACAACTGTGTTAAACCTTAAGACGCTGGGAAGTCCTGTAGACAAACATCATTGAAATCCACTGCATGCACTGTGTTATTTTTACATAACACCCATTCATTTCAGCAGGGTGTAATAAACATTGCTTCTCAGAGGATTATGCCCTTAAGTGCAACCACTGCTTCAGTAGAATACAATCTGCTGTTAACTTGGTTGTTATTTTTTTCACTGTGAGATATGGGATCCTCATAACAGAGGGTCCTGGTTGTGCTCAGGACCCAAGAGCTCACCTGACAGGGTTAAAATGGTGGTGGTGGTGGTGGTGGAGAAAGGAGCAGGAAGTCCTGTCCATTCCCCTGGGGTCACGCCAGGCGGTTTTAGCCAATAGCCAGTAGGTGGCGTGATCCCAGGGGCTTTAAAAATGGCAGCATGATGCAAGTGGGGCACTTGCATTTGCACGGCTGACCCTCCCTAGTTTAGGTAGAGTCGCTTGGCCTTGCTTTGGTTTGGGTCACCTGTTTTGGAACAGGGGCTGGGTAGGATTTTTTTTCCATTTGGCAGATTGGCTTTAGCCATTTGGTTTTCACCTACCCCTTAGGAAATAGTCACAACTTGTAAGGTGGTGGTTAGGCATTGGCTCAGTTGGATTGTGAGGAGCCATCACCTGCCCCTCCAGGAACTGAGTATTCTGTTAAAGGAATCTGGGGGTCCTGGATCTTGTCTGAAGTCTGCTTGAGGGGCTAGGGCCATGCCAGGACCACAGGAACCCCGGGGTGAGCTTAGGTTGGTCCTCATCGACCTTGCTCCCTCATTTGGTTTACCCCATTGGACGATTATCCTGAGAGGTGGAGTCAGTTATAGTGGGGAGTCAATGCCTAAGCCAATACTGCTCACGTGATTGTATTTCAATAAAGCTGTGGCCAAAATTTGCCCCCAAACTTAAACTAATGTAAGTGTCCGTGTGTATTTATTTTGGGGGTGGGTCTTGGGGCCTCGAGACACAAACAAGTATTTTGATGCAGTTCTCTGACCATGTGAATACGCATACGGGGGTAAAGTTTGCATGGTGCAATACATTAGTGAAAAATAACATCATGGTGTTACCCTACAAAGAGGGTCTGGAAATACGTAGGTCCTCTTTAGCCAAATAAAGACAGTAGCATCGTGGAAAAAGTTCATATTTATTGCCAACTGCAGCAAGAATAAATGATCCAGAGGAATTCTCCCAATTCTGGACTCGAAATACAAAATTCAAGATGCTTTTAGAACATTCACTTTACATGGTTAGTTCGTGAACGATCCCTTTCAGCAACATGATTGGATAACAGAACACATGGACAGCTCGTGGACTCCTCATGTTCACTTCTAATTGGTTTACAAAACACACACTCCTTTCTACCAGCTGTACCATGGCAACAAAGTTTATAAATTCTTCTGTCTTGTGCAAAATGCTGCATTTTTGGTAGTCTGTTACAGGAAGCGGTCAGTTTGGAGCTTCCAGTTTCTTCAAGGCCACTTCGCCATTCTGGTATGTGAAGCTGATAGGCAAGGCCCTGCTTGTTAGCAAAAAGACAGGTTGAGGTGCATGAGAAATCTCTGCTTAGCTAGGGCGATGGCACAGATTCATTGCGGTTGTGCCTGGGAAAATGTTTCAGCAGGCTCTGCACTTAGCAGGCTGAGGTCAGTTGTGCATTAGAAACGTGTTCTGTGACAGAGGGTGAGAGCATGTCAGTATAGGGGTACTCTGTACTTCACCTTCCAGCTAGCCTGAAGGAACTTGTCAGATTTCCTGCATTCCTAATCAGCACAAGCTCTCCTTGGTGTCCTGCTAGCCACTTGGACTGTAAGTCTCAGTAGAGACTGACTCAAAACAGAAACATTAGTGCTATGAAAGCAATGTATGAGAGCAATGTATGCTCAAAAATGCCTGCCTGCTGTGTTGACCCTAGTGGGTCTCAGGTCATGACATTCACCTGGGTCCCAGGTAATGACACTCAGGTATCATTGGCACTGAAACCGCCTTGGTTGCGCTAGTTGGCAATCTCCAGCAGGCTAGGGACAGAGGTGAAAGCTGTTTCCTGGTTCTGCTGGATCTCTTAGCGGCTTTTGATACCATTGACCGTGGTATCCTTCATGAAATATTGAGATGGGTTTTCTAGAATGTCTTGCCAGCAAATATTCTGATACAGCATATCAGCTTGAATCTGATTGAGTACGTTTGCTTGACATAATTGAATAACTAAAACTAAAACATACACTGGGTGAATTTTATGAGTTGTATAAATATTTTGGTGTTTTCCCCAATCGCCACAAAATATTCCAGTTAAAATATTTGAATAGGAAAAGAAAATCTACAAAGCACACTTAGTGCAGTTT